AAAAAAAAAAAAAAAAAAAAAAAAAAACATCAAATTTACATAATTATAAACAGAAAAACACAAATAGACATCGGGAATAAACACATACACACAAAAGGAAAAAAAAACACGCCCCTCAAAAAAAAGGAATAAAAACGGCTTCAAATCTTGTATTTAGTTCAAAAATGACAGTAAATAACACATTTTAACGACTGACCATCATTACCACTACCATTAAGTAGAGCTGTATATTAAAACTGGCATCATTTGCGCGATACCAATAATCACTTCCATCTTCTATTTAAATCACACACCACTATGGAAACAAGCTAAGCGATGACAAGTAACTGGCGCATAAATACTCCGGTTACCACACCACACAACCGCAACAATTTCCGACAATGAACAAATGTTCATTCTTCTCAGGCAGCACCATGGACCGACCTTTCCGCATACACGGCGGTCAGTCTTAGCGAATGTGAGTAATTCACCGGAACCTTAGCCGGTAATGGAGACAACCTTAACAATTTCTTCAGTAATCATCACTTCTAATTAACCTACAGTCTTAAATTTTGCCTCCTGAAACTTTTCATTCTTTTTTTAAGAGACATTTCTGGTACCTAAGTTAAAAGCGAAGCAGTAAAAAAAGTGCCCTTTTGGTACTTATAAATTTTTCAATTCAGCACCTCCGCAGCAAAACCATTTTAACGCCATTCCATGACAAAACTCTGGTTGCAACAGATCCTTAGATCAACAAATGCATAATGAAGCTGAAATTTTCAGTGATCATAGCTTACAGAGTTGCAAATAAAACTTAACAGCATCTCCGATAATGATGTCATAGTACCCAGCAAAAAAACTATATCTGTCCGTAAAAAATTAAACTACATTTAATTCATGTATTGAACGACTTTGAAAAATTTTTCATTAAGCATACGACTGAATCGGAAATAAATAAAAAACTTAAGTTGATCCTTGGATACAAATCAGATAAAATTACGTCAAGAATTCTGTATACTTCAAAGAGAATTAGCTATTTTATACCTCAACATATTGCAGAACACTTACAATCTCACCTAAAAAATCCAAGTATATCGAATTTCAGCCAAATTTTTATTTTCCACTAATTCACAATATTCTTTGGAGTATGGCAACTGAACGGATTTTTAGATCTGAATACATTATGCAAATCCTGTTACGTTTTTTCCCGGCTCTGCGGCTTCAGTAGATTTCAGAAGTGTGATAACAGAGACAGAAAAAAAAACAATTGTCACTGAATAATAAATTGAGGAAATCAATT